AATGTTAGTTAATCACTGTTGTGAATGTTCTCCTTTGGTATGCAGCTGCATAAATGTAACATGTCCTTAGACGCATTCTATTAAAAGTCTTCGTTCTTAGGGATGTTAAGGTACGGTTTGTGTTTTCATTTTTGTGTCTCTGTCCCTTCCCAGAACTTTTCCCTATTCAGATGGAAGGAGTGAAACTCATCGTAAACAAAGGTCTCAGCAATCACTTCCAGGTCAGTCAAGTACATCACTGTCTTTAGAATAGAGAGAAAAGAGTTTGGCATTGTCTGAATCTATATAGCAGCTTTCTGAGGGACGATGTAAATAGATAACACTCGCACAGCAGGAAAAAAACCATTCAGTCCATTGTGGCTATGTTGGCTGTTTGAAATACCTGCTTCATTAGTCCCCACGGTACTCTGAACTTTCTCTTCAACTGTTTCCCCAACTCCTCTTTTTTTGAAAGTTTCCTGTTGAATCTGCTCCTATCGCCCTTTCAGACAGTGTGTTCCAAATCACTACCTGTTGTGTCAAAATAACACAATCTCCTCCGTGTGTTTTTCTCTCTCTCTCTCGCTCTCTGTGCCCCCCAGCAGCGCAGCGCTCCCTCAGTACTGTACTCAGTCTCGTGGTATTATCGCTGGACTGTTAATCCAGAGACCCAGATAATGTTCTGGGGACCTGGGTTCGAATCTCGCCATGGCAGATGGTGGAATTTGAATTCAATAAAATATCTGGAATTAAGAGTCTAATGATGACCATGAATCCATTTTTGATTGTTGGGGGAAAAACCCATCTGGTTCACTAATGCCCTTTAGGGAAGGAAATCTGCTATCCTTACCTGGTCTGGCCTACATGTGACTCCAGACCCACAGCAATGTGGTTGACTCTGAACTGCCCGATGGGCAATAAATGCCGCCCTAGCACCAACACCCTCATCCTGTGAATGAATGAAGAAAAAACAAAGTGTTTGCTTCCGAACTCGGAGGATGAGTGGGGTTCGATGAGCTGAGTGGATCCCATTGTACGTTAACGAAAATTGTAACGCAACCATTTCTCCACCTTAAGACCGCGTTGTTTTTTTAAAGATGATGATTAATTTTACCTGGTGATGCCTGCAATGAATCTCCTTTGCTTTGCTTTAAGTCCAAATAACACTGTCTCTGCTGCCACAGGTCAATCACACAGTGTCACTCAGCACATTAGGAGAATCCAGCTACCACTTTGGGGCAACTTACGTCGGCACGAAGCAGCTCAGTCCCACTGAGGTAAGAACAGCTCTCCGTGTAGGGTCAGGCACTGGGTTTCATATCCGAGCCCAGTCACTCAGCTCAGCTGGCTGATGAGACGGTGCGGTGATTAACGCTGCTGCCTCTCAGCGCCAGGGTCCCGGGTTCAATTCTACCTTTGGGCACCTGTCCGTGTGGCGTTTACACATTCTCCCCATGTCTGCGTGGGTTTCCTCCCACAGTCCAAAGATGTGCAGGTTAGGTGGACTGGCCATGTTAAATTGCCCACAGCGTTCAGGGATGTGTAAATGGGTTACAGGGAAAGAGTAATGGGTCTGGGTGAGGTGCTCTGAGGGTCAGTGTGGATTTGTTGGGCTGAAGGGCCTGTTTCCACACTGGAGGGATTCTATGATGATGATGTCTATAATAACATGCCCAGCAGTGAGTTACAGACTGGAATCTAATTGAAGGGTTCTGCGGGGGTAAAATATCGAATAACAGATCCCTAGGAGTGAGTTACAGACTCTAATCTAATCACAGGGTTCAGGGCATTTATATATAGTGTAACAGATCCTGGGAGTGAGTTACAGACTCTAATCTAATCACAGGGTTCAGGGGGTTTATATGTAGAGTAACAGATCCTGAGAGTGAGTTACAGACTGGAATCCAATCGAAGGGTTTGGAGCGGTTTGTATCGGAGTAATAGATACCTGGGAGTGAGTTGCAGAATGGAATCTAATTGAGGACTTTGGGGCAATGTACTGAAACAAAGGACATCCTGTGTCTATTATTGCAGGCATTCCCAGTGTTGGTCGGAGACATGGATAACACAGGCAGCCTGAATGCACAACTCATTCACCAGCTAACAAACAGAGTGCGGTCAAAAATGGTGTTACAGGTGAGCACGCTGGGATCGCATGTCGGTGACTGATAGACCGGTTCGCAGTTTGGTTTGGGAGTTAGACTGGTTCAGTGGATACACTCTCAAACATGCTGTCACCGGGATAGTCTGAGCTCCACGGCTGATAGGCAGGTGCTGACTCACTGTCACTATCAGCAAAAGCCAATCGGAGTTGTTTGTGGACATTGTCGAGCAGAGCTGAGATTTCTTTCAATATTTAGCCCTGTGCTGACCCTATCCTGGAGTGTTTGATGGCGGGGACAGGGTAGGGAGAGCTTTAACCTATATCTGACCCTGTCCTGGGAGTGCTTGATGGGGGCATTGCAGAGGCAGCTTCATTTTCTGTCTAACACGCTGTCCCGATCCTCTTCACTCAGACGCAACAGTCAAAATTTATAAACTGGCAGGTGGACTCGGAGTATCGAGGAGATGATTACACAGCAACGCTGACATTGGGAAACCCCGATATTCTCATCGGATCAGGTAAGGAGGCCTTCCCATCTTGGGCACATAACTGGCTGTCTCTGGACACTGAACGTGTGAACTCTGACCAAGCTCAAGGGGCTGAATCAATCGGATCGTTGCTGCTCTGTACCTTAACACCACCACTGCAGTTTGGCTGAGAAACCCTTCAATTTCTTTATTGAACAACAATCGAGCAAACTTAATTTTCAAATGATTGACCCATCACAGCCCCAGCAGCTCTTTGGGAAGGGGAAGGGAGATCCAGATTTCCACCTTCAGACAGACCTGTCCCCCAGCCCAGTACCGTACCCCAGTGTTATACAGGGACAGACCTGTCCCCCAGCCCAGTACCGTACCCCAGTGTTATACAGGGACAGACCTGTCCCCCAGCCCAGTACCGTACCCCAGTGTTATACAGGGACAGACCTCTACCTTGATAGTGTGCACGAAGTGTGGGTGGATTTTGCCTCTGACCATATCCTGTTGGGATTTGCAGGCATTGTTGTGGCTCACTATCTACAGAGCATCACGCCGAGCCTGGCTCTAGGAGGGGAACTCGTCTATCACCGGCGACCAGGAGAGGAGGGTGCAGTGATGTCTGTTGCTGGCAGGTATACAGGTGAGTCAGCCACCTGTGGCCGTGCTATTATCAGGGCCATGTGTGAATGGAATGGGGTGTGGATGGAACAGGCTGCTAGGATTTTGGAGAGTTAAAGGGGTTTAATGAGGAGGAGATGGAGGAACTTGTTTACTTTTTTCTTAAAGATCCTTACTTTATAGGAATCTGAGATAACAAGGTGGATGAACAGAGCAGGCCGAGCAGGAAAGCTGACGTTTCGGGTGGGTCCAGACCTGAAACGTCAGCTTTCCTGCTCCTCTGATGCTGCTTGGCCTGCTGTGTTCATCCAGCTCTACACCTTATTATCTCAGATTCTCCAGCATCGGCAGTTCCTACTATCTCTGCTTTATAGGAATGTTTTCTTAAGATTAAGCATCTAATTTGTCAGTGCAAGGTAAATGAGTAATTCTACTTTATATTCTGTCCTCTCCATTGTTCAATAAATAGTCCAGATATAGGCTTAAGGTATGGCAGGGCAGCTCGGTCAGGTGGCATATCTGCCTTGGGCATGTTAGGAATGCCACATGTGACCTAGTTTGAGCAGTTTTACAGCAAGTGTCACAGGCTACAGAAACTTCGATGCTGTGTTTCTGAGCTCGAGCAGAAGCTGATGCTTCTGTGTGGTTACATCTGAAACACAAGTCGACATGGGTATTCCGCTCAAAAAATATGTAATGACAACCATGAGTCCATTGCTGATTGTTTGGGAAAAACCCATCTGGTTCACTAAGGCCCTTTAGGGAAGGAAACTGCCATCCTTACCTGATCTGGCCTATATATGACTCCACACCCACTGCAATGTGGTTGACTCTTAACTTCCCACTGGGCAATAAATGCTGCCCTAGCTGGCAATGCCCTCATCCTGTGAATGAATTAAAGGATGCAGGCAGAAGGGAATTGAATGATCTGTTTGCGATGCTCATTTGGAGAACCGGGGCTGAATGGCCTCCGTGCATTAAAATCCTTCTGATCTGTAGGTACTTTTGAATCAAAGTAACTGTCAGATGTTCCTACACACCTCTGGAGCAGGTGGGACCTGAACCTGGGCTCCTTGCTTCAGTGGTATAACTATACCACAAGAGCATCGAAGAATTAAGGACTGGCTTGGATACATGCAACACTGGCCAGTATGGGGACTGAACCCACGACCTTGGTGTTATCAGCACCAGGCTGTATCTGTGAGAGTTAACTGGCCTCACTGTGATTCTGGAAACAACAAATGCTGGAGATCACAGTGGGTCCGGCAGCGTCCAATGAGAGAGGGCAAGCTAACGTTTCGAGTTTAGATAACTCTTCATCAGAGCCATCTAGACTCAAAATATTAGCTCCCTCTCTCTCCATGGATGCTGCCTGGCCCGCTGTGATCTGCAGCATTTTTTTGTTTTCAGTGCAGATTCCAGCACCTGCAGTAATTTGATCCTCCTCTCAATTCTGTCTATATTGCACCAATGTGAATCAGGAGCCTGTCTGAGGGATTTTTAAATGATCGAAAACTCCACTGTTGGGGATAGGGTGGGTGAGATGTTGTTCCCACAAATGATCCTTGGCACAGTGACAGTTAAATTCCAAGGAAACAGCGCACATTCTGGGTTTGATCCTTGAGCCAAGGTTGGTTACGGGGTGACCTAACGGAGGATTTAAAGACTGTGTTAAAGGATTTGGGAGGTTTGATGGAGAGAAACTGTTTGTTCGGGGGGCCCTGGGGGCACTCTTCAAATTACAGCCAGCCCCTTTTTCACGCCCACGTGGTGCCTTGATCTTCCACGCTCAGAATATCGGGGGTCAGTAGAGATTTGCTATCTGTTGGGGTAAGGATTTTGTACCAAAGGAAAGAAGTTTAAGGGACTCTGAGATAGCAAGAACTGCAGATGCTGGAGTCAGAGCTGATAGTGTGGAGCTGGAAGAACACAGCTGGTCAGGACTGATGAAGGATCTGGGCCAATTCTCCAACACCTCTGATGCTGCCTGACCTGCTGTGTTCTTCCAGTCCCACACTGTATCGAAGTTTAAAGAGAGATGTGCAAGAAAGGGTTTATTAAGGGTGATAAGGGCTGGGAAGGTGGTAGAAGCAGATACAACAGCAATGTCTGAGACATTTGGATGGACGGGAGATAGCAAGGTCTCCAGGTGCTGGAAGTCAGAATCGATAAAACATGGAGCTGGAGGAGCACAGTAGGTCAGACAACGTCAATGTTTCAGGTCAGGATGCTTCATCAGGTCTGGGGAGGGGGAAGGGAGCTCAGAAATAAATGGGGGTTGGAGCTGGGGGAAGGTAGTTGGGATGGTGATAGGTGGATGCAGGTAGGGGGTTGTGGAGATTGGTTGATGGGAAGGGTGGGGCAGATAGGTTAGAAGGAAGATGGACAAGTTGTCAGGTCAAGGAGGCAGGGATGAGAGGGAGGGTTGGACATGGGATGAGGACAGGGTGGAGAGATTTTGAAGCTGGTGAATTATGTTGAGGCTATCAGGTGGAATATCCTTCAGTTTACTTGTGGCCTCTTTGTGACATCGGAGGAGGCCCAGGATGGAGATGTCACTGTGGGAGTGGGAGTGGGAGGGGGAGTTGAAATGAATCTGTATGCTCCAATCAACAACATCATTTACCGGCCATTTCAACTCCCCGCTCCCACTCCCTTGACGACATGTCCATCCTGGGCCACCTCCAGTGTCACATAACACCACACGTAAACTGGAGGAACACTATCTTGTATTCCACCTCAGCAGCTTACAGCCCAATGGCCTAAACATAGAACTCACCAGCTTCAAAATCTCCCCACCCCATCCTCATCCTAAGTCAGGCCTCCCTCTCCTCCCCGCCTCCTTGACCTGACACAACCCTTCCATCTTCCTTCTCACCTATCTGCCCCACCCTTCCCATTGACCAATCTCCACTACCCCCTACCTGCATCCACCTATCACCATCCCACATATCCTACCTTCACTCCCACCCTCTCCATTTATTTTATGAGCTCCCTTTCCCCCTCCCCGGCCCTAATGAAGGATCCCACCCCGAAACACCGACTTTCCAGCTTCTCTGATGCTGTCTGACCTGCTGAGCTCCTCCAGTTCCACGTTTTAGCAACGTTTGGATGGACAGGCAGAGATTAGAGGGATAGGGTCTATGTGCAGGCCAATGGGAATAGTTTAAAATGGCATTGTGGTCGGCACAGATGTGGTGGGCCAAAGGGCCTGTTCTGTGGTCTTTGCGGATCAACCATGATCTGATTGGTTGAAAGGGCAGGAGGGGCTGAATGTCTTCCTCCTGTCGTTGTAATTCCCAGTACGTGCCACCAGATGGTGGTGCTGCATCATTGGGTCTGCCTTCAGCGGAAATGGGAACCATTCAGCCTTCATTAAATGTAGGGAGTGGAGTATTTACCAGGTTTCTACTGCCCTCCAGGTCTTGAGAACAGAACCAGTGATGCCCTCTCTTGTAACCTGCTCCACGGAGGTTGAGGGAGCAGTCACTGTCCAGTTGGATAATGTGTGTACTCGTAGCACATGAGCCCACCCCCATGGGCATACTGGGTGATAAAGTGTGCACCGATTTTGCAGTCATCGTTCGTTTTGTGGTTGTTCAGTGTCTGTTGACACGGGACTGCAACCAACTGCATTCACATAGCCCCCAAAACCTGACACTTTGCAGGATGTTAGAATCGTAGAAACCCTGCAGTGTGGAAATAGGCCATTCAGTCCACACTACCCCTCCGAAGAGCATCCCACCCAGACCCATTTCCCAGGTCTAACTACCTAACCTAAACGTCCCTGGGCACTATGGGTAATTTAGCATGGCCAATCCACCCTAACCTGCACATCCCTGGGCACTATGGGTAATTTAGCACGGCCAGTCCACCCTAACCTGCACATCCCTGGGCACTATGGGTAATTTAGCACGGCCAGTCCACCCTAACCTGCACATCCCTGGGCACTATGGGTAATTTAGCACGGCCAGTCCACCCTAACCTGCACATCCCTGGGCACTATGGGTAATTTAGCACGGCCAGTCCACCCTAACCTGCACATCCCTGGGCACTATGG